GGGGCAGGGGATTATTCATAGGGGATATGGGGGGGGTGCTGGGAGGAGGAAAAGGGGGTGCAGGGAGCCCCCCCGAACCCCCCCGAACCCACACCAGCCTCCCTCAAATAGGGAAAATCCTTTAAAAATCAGTTAAAAATCCCTAACTGGCAGTTTTGGGGTTCCCCCGCTGCTGCACCCCAAATGATTCCAAGGTTTGGGGCTGGGGGGGTGGGGGGGGCTGTGCTTTGCACCCTGAAAGTTGGGCACCCAAAAATTGGGGCGTCCTGGGGGAAAGGGGGGAGCATGTGCTTTATAAGGGGGGGGGGGGCACCCTAAAATTGTCAAGGGGATTCTGTACCCCCCCCTAAAGGGACCAGCACCCCAATATTCTCTGCTCCCCCACCCCCAGGCACCCCAAGGGCTCTTGGCACCCCCAGATGCCCCCCCACCCCCCAAAATTCATGGGGGATCCTGCTGGTTGCCCTCCACAGGGATGGGGAAACTGAGGCACAGGGAGGGCATTCCCCCCCCATACACCCAGACACTTCATCCTCCTCGGCTCAGCAGGGACTTGGGGGGGGGTGCACAGAGATGTGGGGGTTCAGAGGGCCAGGGCCCCGCCTAAATCCTGTCCCACAGCCCCCCAGGAATGAGCAGCACACAGGGGGTGACACCAAGAAAAGAAACCGGGGGGGCTGAGGGGGAGAATTGCAGGTTTGAGGAGGGGTCACAGGGGAATTTCAGGGGGGGAGTTGAAGGTGTCAGGGAAGTTTTGGGGGTACAGGGGGATTTTTTTTTTTTTTTTGGGGGGGGGGTCGGGGTCCAAGTGCAAATGAAAAAGATCCCAAATGCTCCAAGACATTTCACAGTGTCTAACGCGACTAATCCCAGGGGCACGAGGAGAGGGAAGGGGAGGTGGGGGGGGGCGAAACGCTGGATTTGGGGGGCACCCCGCACCCCTCGGGGGGTAGGGGAGGGGGCCCAGCCTCGTGGGCGCCTGCAGAGGGCAGGTGGCACCACGGAATTGGCGCCTGGGAGGCTGAAATGGGCACCCAGGGCTCCCAAATGGGAAGTCAAAACCCTTAGGCAAACAATAGAAGAGATCCTTTTTTAAGGGAGAAAAAAAGCTTATTTACATTTTTTTTTTTTTTTGGGGGGGGGGGTCGGGGTCCAAGTGCAAATGAAAAAGATCCCAAATGCTCCAAGACATTTCACAGTGTCTAACGCGACTAATCCCAGGGGCACGAGGAGAGGGAAGGGGAGGTGGGGGGGGGCGAAACGCTGGATTTGGGGGGCACCCCGAGCAAGGGGGGGGGTCCCTCTCCCCCAGCCCCCCGTCACTGCAGGACCTGCCCCCTTGTCTCGGGCAGTTTGAGGGCCAGGGAGCTGCCGAGGGCCAGCGCGGCCGAGGCGAACAGGATGGGCACGGCCTTGGTGATGCCCACGAAGGACGTGAAGATGCTGATGCCCAGCACGGCTGCCAGCTTGCACAGAGCGTTCAGGAAGCCAAACGCCGTCGTCCTGAGGAGGGTGAGGAGGGATGGGGTGGGTGGGGGCACCCCTCGGG